ACTACTTGTACACTTAGCAGTTGCATCTGTTCGTTAGTGGAGTCTCTCAATTAAATGTGAAAAATGCTTTTTTAAATGAAAATCTTCAAGAGGAGGTTTACATGGTTTCTCCTCCTGATTTTTCTCACTTACCTAGATTTGTTTGTAAGTTCAAGAAGGCATTTTATGGCCTCAAACAAGTATCTCGTACCTAATTTGAGAAATTTTTCACTGTTGTTACCTCTCTAGACTTTACATCCAGTCATCATGACTTCGCTCTATTCTTTAAATGCACTTCAATTGGTCGCATTCTATGATTGCTATATGTTGACGATATAATTATTGCTGGTGATGATGTTGATGTTGATGGAATTTTAGGCTTGAAATCAAAATTGGCTTGTCATTTTAAAATGAAGGACTTGGGTATATTATCTTATTTTTTGGGGATCAAAGCTGCTTCTTCTCCTAGAAATTATCTTCTCTCTCAGTCCAAGTATACTATGGATATTATTGAGCGTGCCCATCTTACTGATACTAAAACTGTTGATACCCCTCTTGAATCCAACGCTCAATATTCATCCTCTGACGATGTACCCTTGACTGATTCCACTTTGTATCACACTATTGTTGGATGTCTCTTTTATCTTACAATCACACGCCCTGATATTGCTTATGTTGTTCACATTGTAAGTCAATTTGTTTTAGCTCATACTACAGTTCATTAGGTAACAATTGTTCGTATTTTGTGTTATCTTCGTGATACATGCTTTTAAAGTTTTTTGTTTCCATTAACATCATCCTTAGTGCTCAGTGCCTATTATGATGTTGATTGGCCCAACAATCCCACTGATCGCAAGTCTATTATTTGTTTTTGTATATTTTTGGATAATTCTCTTATCTTTTAAAAAAGTAAAAAGCAGATTGTTGTTTCTCGTTCCTCTACTGAGGCAAAGTGTCAAGCTATGACATCCACTAATATTGAGATTATGTGGTTGCGATGATTACTTGTAGACATAGGTGTTGCTCATTCTTCCCCAACCTCTATGTATTTTGATAATACTAGTGCTATACAGATCTCTCACAGCTTTGTGATCCATGAGCGCACAAAGTATATTGAGATTGATTGTCATCTGATTCGTCATCATCAGCAGATCGGCACCAGTTTCCTACCTTTTGTTTCTTCATCGTTGCTAACTGCTTCACTAAGTCTCATCCAATTCATCGTTTTCGCTTTTCGCATAACAAACTCTCATTACTTCTTACTTTAGCATCATGAGTTTGAAAGGATATATATAGAAGGCGGAACAACTCTGAAACCACCTTGCTGAACCTGAAGACAACGCAATAATTGAGATTTAATGATGTAATACGAAATATGTAAGATCAAAACCAATAGAACAAGATTAAAGTAATAAAAAAAGAGAGAGAGTTAAACAGATAAACTGATATTTTATTCAATAACAATATGGAGAGAATACAACTACAGTAATAAAGCTTTACAAATCTAAAAAAAGAATCTAGTATTTATATGAAAAAATCTATCCTTGGAAGTAGAGTTATACTAAAATAAAATGCCAAAGTTTCATTATTTGATCTCATCGAGTCCAACACAAATTTCAATTCCCAATAGGCCTCCAAATAGAACTTTAACTAGAATTTGTCAATTAAACTTTAATAGGATTCCTCAATAGCATTCCAATTAGAATTCTTTTTTATGTGTACTTCAATTAGAACTCTACAATTGTTTTAACAAGAAATTCAAGTCACACCCAAATTCTAACAAGTTTCACATTGACACGAATTTCACTGCTACGAATGAAACTCCAAAATGTCCCCACTTGGAAAATAAATTCGATTGCAGCGAAATAAGCTGACTCTTCAACCAGAACCAAAACTCTTCATTCCGCAAAAACATCTTCCTCTGCACGGTGTCCACAAACGACATCTAAACCCTATTCCCAAGTTCCCAAAATTCCACTTAAGAATTACTATTGACCAAATAGGATCGAAATACACCCTGTAGCAGAAATCACACAAAATGCATGATCAGAAGACCCATTGCTAGAACTGGTCACCTTCAACAATCCCGAAAACATTACAGACATCACTGACACCACCGTACCTACGCTCAATAGATCCAACCCTAGCAATTAGACACAATGTATCCACTGAAATTGGTGGCAAAGCGGAATCACCAACGCTCCCTTGAGCAATGTTCTGAATTGACCCGGAGCCCGTCACAAGAGGTGTTGTACCAAATTGAATTTCCATCACGGTACAGAATATGTCCAGATGTCTTTTAACTGGTTTTGCGCTCCCCTGCAAAATGTGCAACTGAGACTTCTTTCGCCCCTCCAGTACAATCCGGACACCTCTTCAGGCCTTCAAGACTCTTCCTCCACCAGAGAATTTACACCCTTTTGAATCTAAAGTACTCAGCGATATGAGATTCCTCTTCAGATCTAGAAAAAGTCGAACGTGACCTAGTGTTCTGACCGTCCCGTTCTAAACCTAAATCTGACTCGACCAATTTCAGCAACCCAACAAACCTGGTTGTTTTCCGTGACAATTCTACCTTGCTTAACCGTCTCATATGTCTGAAACAAGTCCCGATTGAAACACATATGGTACGAACATGCTGAATCAAGAATCTATTCCTCGTTAGGCTTAGACTCCATGTCAAATACTAAGATCAACATTGTATCACCGCATCATCGCCATCTGAAAAATCCTCAACTAAATTGGTCATGTCCGAAGTCAATGATTATGTCTCATGATTTGCAACTAAATCACCTTTAGCCTTCAACTTATTGCAATTCTTCCGAACATGTCATTTCCTTCTGCAATAGAAACAATATAAATTGTTGTAGTTCACCTTCGATCTGCCCCTTCTTCGATCACCATGAGATACTAGAGCTTCCTCATCCCTAGATGTAGCCCCAACTAGATGCTTCATCTTCTCATTTAAGTATAAAGCATCATAAGCGTGTCACAACTGTACAAGATCATGTCTTGAAACGACAAATAAGAGGCGCAACGAACATAATAAGATCAATGTCAGATCATTCTTATCATACTTGACCTCCAATATCTCTAAATTTGCAAATATTTCCTTAAACATGACAAGGTGATCTTCTGCGATCCTCCTTCCGCCATGCAATGGAAATACAGCCTTTGCTTAAGATGCAATTTGCTTTAAAGAATTTTATCATGCACAATTGCTTCAATTTTAACCACAAAGACTCCGATGTCTTCTCCTTCAAAACGTCCTACAAAATGTTATTGGAGAGATGAAGATGAATTTGCGATAGAGCCTTCCTATCCTTCCGTTGATTCTCTTATGTTGTCCAATTAATTGGCATCTTATCAAAACCTAGCAACACATCGTCTAAATCCATATGCGCTAAAATAGCACTCATCTTTACTTGCCACAACGAAAATATCGTATTACGATCCAGTAGTGGAATATCATATTTCAAAGTAACTATCTTAAAAAAATCTCAATCAAATCACGAAGAACATGCAGTCGAACTCTAATACCATTTGTTGAAGGCGGAACAACTCTGAAACCACCCTGTTGAACCGAAAGGCAACGCAAGAATTGAAATTTAATAATGTAATATGAAATATATAAGATCACAACCAATAGAATAAAATTAAAGTGAAGAAATAAAAAGAGAATTAAACAGAGGAATTGATGTTTTATTCAATAACAATATGGAGAGAATACAACTACAACAATAAAGTTTCACAAATCTAGAAAAAGAGTTTAGTATTTATAGGGAAAAATCCATCCCTAAAAAGTAAAATTGTAAATGAAATCAAATGCCAAAAATTTTCTTATTTGAACTCATCAAGTACAAGTATACAACACAGATTCCTACTCTCAATAGACTTCCAAATAGAGCTTTAACCAAAATTTGTCAATTAAACTTGAATATAATTTCTCTTGATGTGCATTTCAATTAGAATTCTACAATCGTGTGTGTGTGTGTGTGTGTGTGTCTATATTTATTATTATTATTATTATTATTATTATTATTATTATTATTATAATTATTTTCCTCATAGGTTTCCTTGTAACATATAAACTATTTGTTTCATTGTAAACCCTAATTTTGTGTGGCTTAATAGATTATTGTTTTCTCTTCTCTTTGAATTCATTCACCATATTGATTCAAGATAGTTCATATCGTTATCATTTTCAATAGGCACTCTGCTTCTGTCCAAATTAAACATACAAGTGGGATTACAACGATCTTTACAACCTTATAAAAGTGTAAACCCAAGCTTATACTGCTCATCTTTCATCTGTGTTTCAATATTTCTCATCTCCCTGTGAAGGATCGGCTACCAAACGATATTATTTCCACGAATGATGACTAATTCTAGTGCGTCTCTCTCTCTGTCCCTCTCTCAGATAACATAAGGGCCCATTTGACATAATTTTTAATTTGCTTCCTGTAGAATTTTCGGAGGAATCTACCTTAATTTTTGAAAGGGATTTCTCTTTCGAAAGTTCTTTTAGATAAAGTCACATAAGACGAGGTTCCTCTAAAACCTCTTTTGACTAGAAGAAGCAATTTCATAAAATTAACCAAACGTGTCCAAAGGCAGTTTTTGAATCTCAAAAGTTTTTGACTTTTCAAAAGATATGCCAAACGAGCCTAATCACAATGTGTGTGAAACATGCACAGATAGATATCATCATTTGTATAACATGTGAACACAACACAATCATTCTGATTTCACTTTAAAACACAATCAATGATAGATTGTCGAGTGTCTAGCAACTGCTTGTGCTACTGTGTACCTAATCATATCAGAACTGCCCTTAGCTCACACCTCTCACAGCAAATTATGAGAATCTTTTTATGAGATCATAAAGCATAGACAGCAGAACCTGGAAAGTGCTAAAGTTCAAATATATTTGGTAAAAGTTTTCATTAAAAAAGTAAAGCATGGTCAACGAGTCTGCAGAAACACGGAAGCAATTAATTCTCCAACCAAGAAAAAACTTGTACATAAATTTACCTATAATTCAACGCGTGTCAAGTATATTAAGGAGACTGGAGTCCAATCAAAATGCTAGATTCACTCTTCAGGATATATTAAATACGCTGAAGGCTGGAAAATCATTCCAATATGACATTCCAAAATCTTTACATTGAAATACAAGATATTGAACATACATATAGAAACGCTTACAACATCTAAGGTAGTGAAGAAGAGGTTCATCATCCCCTAGAGAAAGCCGTCCATCACTATAGTTATCTCAATGACTTGAACTTTGGGGTAGCCGGAAGGAACCCCCGGCATAGAGCATTTGGTAAACTGGTTTTATCCTCACGGTCAAAACTATGCTAAGAATGGTTCCAACACTGCAAAATCCGGCCAAAACGAGGAAGGTGAGTCTAAAACAGTTTGGACCTAAGCAAGAAACAGCATGCTGTTTTGATGCCTCGTTATCATATAGAATTCCTGCAAGGAGACCCGAGAATAGGTATGCACCGAGTGGATTGCCAAGTGACATGAAATTGAAAATCATACCGAAGTTCTTAAGGCCAAAAAGCTCGGAGGCTGTTGGGACCATGATAGAAAACTGAACGCCATAGCAGATTCCCAGCAATGCAGTTGCGGCATAAAGAGTGCCCTTAAGAGCTGAAGCAAAAAGGAGATACGTGATTATCATTATAACTTGTGTAACTGTCATCCAAACTGTCCTAGGGATCGCTTTTGATCTGCAAATAAGATACTACCACAAATCAGATCCAACTGAAAGAGAAATGACATTTTTTAAGGAATTTGTGATTATTCCTGATACATGAGCAAAAGGATAATCTTAGAATATACAAAATACAAACCTGACAAAATATTCAGAAATGACACCTCCGCCAAGGCGACCCACAAAATTGAAGAAGCTGAAGAGGGATAACAGGATCTTTGTATCATGCATATATTGAGCTATTCCAATTTGTGCCAGGTTATTGAGAATGGTAACACCAGAGCCAACCCCGACAAAGTAGACCAAGAACAGAAGCCAGAAATCAGCTTTGATCATAGCTTCAGCAAATGTAAAATCATCCCCTCTTCTAGGTCTCCTCTTTTTCTTTATCGCGCCTTCTCCTTCGGCAATAAGCATATCCATGTCGGACATGCTGTCACTTTCGTGAAAACTTCCGAGGTTTGCAGATGATGGTGTCAAAAGCGGTTCTAGTTTGTCTGCATTGCCATTGTCTTGGTCAGAAGATTTTGTCGGTCCAAGAAATTGGACATAAGTCGCAGATTTGCTGCTACTGGAGGGGAAGAAAGTCATCTTCACGGGGATGGCAAGTGGAGCCATTAGAAAGAGGACCATAAGAGCAAGAAAACAATAGGACATGGGAGCCCTTATAGAGAGCACGTCGTCCAAAACAGTTGTTGTAAGAACATATATACCAAGCAAGATACTAGAAGCTAGAATGAACAGAAAATGGCAATTTTCCGAAGTATCATCGCCAGAAGCTGGAGTACACGGCCTAACAAAATACATCATCATAAGACAGAGAGTAGGAATCCCAAGTGCGAGGAATAACATGAGTTTTGAAGAAGAATTTTTAAGCAATATGCTGTAAATCTCCGTATATACAGCAGCACTAAGTCCTCCATAGCCCTTGATAATACCAGCGACTGAGCCCCGACTAAGAGGGAAGTTTCTCATATTAGTCACAAGTACTGCAGTGCTGAACCAAGCATTGCTATTGGTAGCAATACATAAAGCAACCCATAACTGCAAGTGAACAAATGTATATAGTTACTGCCCGGAAAAAGAAAGGACTACACGTGTCAAATAATACATCACAACAGGAGGATCAATCCCTTTTCTAATCCATTATACACCATCTTCCAAATTAGTCCAGTTTCATAGTTTGAGCATAAGATTGACCACTTCCATCACTACAAGGAACTGCGACAACGACAATTCAGGATGGCATAACAACCAATGAAAGAAACTACACATCGCGCTTAATGTTTCCATTTATTTTCTTGTTAATTATAAATATACAAGTGAATTGTGGATTTCTATGTTCCAAAACATTAGACAATAACATGTAAAACAGATCCAAGTTGAGAAATAAATTAGAAAAGGGATCAAATCAAAACCAAAAATTACATACAACCATCAATCCAAAAAAACGAAATTCAAAGAACAGATCTTTATAATAAAACCCAGTAAGCAAAACCCAAAATACAAGAAAACTAAAAGGAAAAAAGAACGGATACTTTACCAGCCAATAAGGCAAATCAAGAACAGTACGGCTAATGGCAAGCCAGAGAACCCCATAACCCAAGAAACATGCAAAAGCACCGATCAAAAGAATCACCCAGGGTGGGAACTTGTTGCATATAAGTCCAGGGAGTATGCCGACATTTTCACCAATGTCATTAGCCACCCCAAGCATTGTGAGCTGCCTTTGGTTGAAACCCAGAACTGATTTCAATGAATGAGAGTAGAGTGGAAAATTATATGCATTTCCAGCTGCTATTTGCATCCAAATGGATGCTCCAAGTCCAACCCATGGAGGCCTACTCCCTCTTTTCACAGTCACCATTTTTGAACTCCCAAAGATTCAAATTCGGGAAATACAAGAAACAGAAAATCAAAAAAGCTTGAGGTGGGGCGGGTGACGGTGGGGGTTCCAGATTGCAATAAATGATATGATCAAGGAGGTTGAAGCTGAGAAAAGGCTACGTGTTTTGTTCGTACCTTTATTGATTCATGAGGAAGTGGGGTTTGTAAGGGGCGGATTGAGTACAAATGAACGGACTAGATTGCATTTAATGTTTTGAAAGCGAGCTTTGGTCGGATCACGGATGTATCACGGACTTTGCTTGATACTGCAGAGAGGAGATATTTTAAGACATCAATTGTATATTCTAATTAGTGCTGTAAACAAAAATTGTCAAATCGAAATCGTATTTTAAAAATTGTCGGTTTGGTGTCACGTAAATTTGGTCAACGAAATGGTTTTGATTCAAACCAAAGGTTTGGTTTGGTTTAGGTTTGAGAATTTAATTGCAGTTTAAAACTAAACCGGATCGGGAAAAAAATATATAAAAATAAAAAAATGAAAAAATGAATTTTTTTGAAAATTCATCAAAATATGTAAAATTCAAAAGTTTTGTCATTTGTGTGAATTTTTGTCAATTTCTAATTTTCTAATATAGATATATTATTATTATTATTATTATCCAATAATCCTTATTTATATCTAATAACCTCAAAACTCACATAATCTATCAAAAACCCTTTTTCCTCTTCATAATTTAGATTAACTCCAGCCGACATCCAACACAGTCTTGAGCCACCGGCACCACACACTTCTTTTTCAGATTTTTCACACCTCTTCAAAATTAAATTGAAATCCATTATACCAAATATGAGACAAAGAGATCTTAGACTTTCGATGATAATATTTGCTACGAATAAAGTTTCAGATCAATAATTTTTTTAAAGCAAACTAAGGTAAAAATTTGAAATTAAATGGATTTCGTAACATCATACAAATGTAAACTTGTGTAATTGTTATATTTAAATATTATAAACAATTGTTTTATTATTGTGATTGGTTATTCTCTTTGTTTAATTAATTTCCTATTTTTTCAGATATGATAATCACGAGGTCTTGTTGAACATCATTATATTTTTTGGGTCTTATATCTAGTTTAGTAGACTTGTATTGTAACGTTATTGTATCGTCATTAGCCTAAAAAATGTGAACAAAAATGAAAAAAACTATATTTTAGTTTATTGTGATTTCACTTTGATTTAATTGGTATTTAAATTTATAGTAGATATATTTAGCCCCCTGTTTGAGCCATATTTTCCATATCATCATAATGAGAAAATTGATCGTTGAAGATGAGGTTGTGTCTAACACATGAAACAGTAGATCAATAAAGGCGACTGGACTTGTGGGATAACGATCTAAATTTTCATTTTTTTGTCTCAAAAATTTGGTTCAAACAAGAGATTAGTTTGGTTTAGATTTATTGCTAGTATAATATAAATATATATTGAATTCAATGAATTAATGATATAAAAGTAGACGAGCAAAAAAATATATGACGAAACCGACGATTTAAAATCGGACCAAATCGTTAGGTTTAGGTTTAAGGTTTTTTCAAATCGTTCAAAATTGTTTGGTTTAGGTTTATGTTTTTCTCAAATCGGTTTAAACGGTTTGGTTTGAAAATTTATCAAAAATCGATAAAATCGAACCGCTTATACCCCTAATTCTAATGTTAAGAATGTAATATGTTTGTGCACAAATATCCCCAATTTGAGCCCCGTATATATTTTTGAATAGTGATTTATTGGAGGATATGAGGTTTTAAAAAAAAAGTTTTCGATTTGCATGTAAAATAATTTTATAGGAGAATGTGTGGTTGAAAATAAATTTTAAAAAAAATTGAACTTGTTAAAAAAAAAAAAAAATTAGAACCATTTCAAATGTAATATTTTTTTTGGGAAATAAATGTATTGTCGTTATTCTATATTTAATGGAGTGTGGTTATTTTCATTTCGGTTGGTCTATAAACCGCTACATATAAATTGACCGGACTCAATCCAATTAGGTCAGTGTTTAGCCTCTTGATGGCTCGGGTTGGCTTTTGTATCATACTTGAACGTTAAATTCTCGCTACTCGACCCAAGTCACAGCCTCAAACGCTTTAAAAAGAAAGGAAAAATATCTAAAATTTAAAGCTCCAAAATTTAGATCGCCGTCTCACTTAATCAGTTTGGTTGAATCTAAAACCAACCTGACCCGGCCCAATTCTAGTTGGGTTAGATCTGCGATTTGGACTATATATATATATATATATATTCTAAAATTACATCTCACCTTACTTTTGAATTCAATATTCTAAAATCAGTGAGAATGTTTCATTATTCAAAAATCAGATATCTAATATTTAAATATTAATTATTTAATTAAAAACTAATAACAGTATATTTTGTGATTTAAGTGTTTCAAAAAATAAAACTACATCACTTCATTGTATTTTGAAAACCTCTACTTGTAGAAACCGAAAATAAATTTTTTTATCTATTTCATCTTGACATGCTTTGTTAATTTGAGATACTGAGGGACTCATTTAAAAATAAATCTCATGTACTCGAGAGAAAAGTCATTCCGGATAAATTAGGCCTAAGTTATGGTAGTTCAAAGGGAGTCCCACTTTAATTAAAGTAAATAAAGCAATTAAATCATTTGGCAACCACTAGATAAGTTGAATTTGATAAATTCCAGCCAATTTACATACATTGTATCACTTTTTGACTAGGGGACTTGTGTTATATATATATGTCAACTTTGTTAGACTTTAGTTCCCATACTTAATAGAATACTAGGCATACCATAGCTTATGTTTCACGCCATTTTAAGAACTCATCAGTAAAGAAATTCAGAGACCAATTTGATTCTCTTATGTTAGTCATTTTAATATTCAAAAACAAAGGAATTCGATTCAACATAGGACTTCCTCATCATCACAGGTAGTATCCGTAAGTGAAATCTTAGTTACATGAATTTAATTTTCAATTTAGCATGTTATTCGTTATATTTGATGATGAAAGGTTATATATGTTTAGACTGATGGTCGCAAAGGCTTATCAGAACCGTAAGTGTATATGTTAAACTGATAGTCGCAGAGGCTCATCAGATTCTTGAATAGATCGTTTGATCATCGATTTACTTATTTATGATGACAGCGTGTAAGAATGTATTATTAAATATATGATTATTATGTTCATATAACACGTGTAGTTTACTGAGTATTTTTTTGAGATACTCACTCTTATTTAACCATTTTCAAAGTAATCAGAGATCCGACGATGATTTGGCATGAATGGCATGTGCTATTTTTAGAGAAAATTATCTCTTATATTTTCAATTGTCACTTTTATATTTAAAAAACATTGGGTGTCCTTGAGACAGTAGGTTGAATTCTTGTTTTGAGAAGGAAAGGTTTTTAATGTTCATGTGTGTGTTTCTTTGAAGGTTTCAGAAATTTGCCACTATTTTAAAATTTTGTTTTTGGTCGATAAATTTGGAATATTTTAAAATTGTAGTTCTTGAAAGCTTAAAAACTAAACTGATGATAAAATTGTTTCATGGTTGATATAATATTTTATGATGGTTTATTCAGTTAAATTGAGTTGCAACACTGGGGTCAAATAAATTCCAGATTCTGGCTTAAGTTTAAAAGTTCACCCAGATTTAAATACTGGGAATTTTGGGGTGCTTCCATTGGAGACAATAGCCATATGAGTTATCTGTCTCTGGGATTTTGAATCACGAACTTTGGATGTGTAAAATTCAAGTTATGAATGTTTTTTCGAGAGCTGCCAGAAAGTACCCAAGAACAAATAGATTTGGATTTGAAAATAAATTTTGACCAATCTATCGATTGAGTTTGTACACAAAATTTTAACCTGAACTTCTCCTAGGTGTAAAGTGTCTATAGTTTTAATTTCTTACATTTTGGATTTCATTTAGTTGTCAAACGAGATTTATTTCAGAAAGTCGTATAAGCTGAAAATCTAAACTTTCCGAAAGAAAATTTCTTAAATTTTGTAACAGGTTCTCTAAAGCCTTGATGCTTTTAGTACAAGTTGATTTCTACATTTTATGAACTATGTAGGTAGGGTTTTATAAATTTAAGGTCATTTTAATGTCATGAGTTTCCTAGACCTCAGGGCATTACACTACCTACGTTCATTTTTCACCGATTCGATAAATTGCACGACCCACAAAACAACTGTTCATTTTTTCACCGATACTTCTCCGGTGAACTTGTGATCGCTGTTGAAGCACATTGTCTTCTCAACATATAAACATCGATCTATTTTCTATTCCTCTATGTGAAAGTGGTATATCATAAACTCAAAGATCAATGATTCGATCAAGTGGTGGAAACTGAGGGAAGAAAGTAGACGAGGTCTTAGATAGAAGAGATAAAAGAAAAGTAGATGAAATGCATAAAAATTCTCCATCTAAAAGAGATCATTCTAATCGGTTAGTCACATCTTCGACCGCAAAGAAAGTAATTATTATTTTGTTCATTTTGTTATTCATATGAAGTATATTATGTACCATGAAATGGATGAGTAATAAGTATGGATGATGTACTCTTCATTTGTAACATATTTTATATTCAATTTTAGACATGTGAATTGATTTCATATTTTTTTTATCTAAAGTGTGAATTATAGAAAGGGATTTTGTTTTTGTTTGATTTATGAATTAGTGCTGTCCTAAATTTAGTCATTTGTGACATGTTCATCCATATGTTACTAACGATTATGTTATTTGTGAGCAATATGCAAGTTTGAAGATTCATTATACCAAAAGATTGTTGGTTTTCTAGAAAATTACAATTATCCCCCACGAAGAGTGTGCTAACAAAATTGAAAACGAATATTATGGAAACCCAATGGCTTATACTGTAGAATACATATCTTGCCCACTTTCTGAAATGTAATGAAATTATTGTATAATCACAGTTGATACATTATTTCCTATTGAGGTCAGTTCAACAACGTAATAAAAATCAAATGTGATTTAATATACCATGAGATTTACTAGATTCTCACTTTCCAAGTTATTTTTAGTGACCAGGCTCAGATATTTTGGTAATGACGATACTAATAGGCTAGAGAAGAGTCCATCATGCTTGAAAAATAGATAATTCAATATGTTGAAATTTGTGACACATGAA